GGTATTCAAAGTTAAGTCAATTAGTAACTGATCTGTTATATTATTCAACGTAGGTTCCACTGCACCCACAGCTTCAGTATACAACCGGTTATCTAAAACAGATGGAGAGACGTAAATACCAAGCTGACATAAAAAATTATTGATTATTACATAAAACGGAGAAAAGTACTATGAAGTCAACTATACACCCTATAAGAAAGTACTAAATTTTGATATGACTGTGTTCTCCAAGCCATGAGTGGTTGAATCGCGAAGCTTTCAATGTCTTCCTTGACAACATCTTCAGTGCTTACTTCAATGTGAACTTCACATACGCTCCAAAAATATGATTTGTACAAGGGCTGAGATACTGAGGGCTGGGTGTCTAGACTGAAGCAAATGCACAATCTTAAGGAACTGCTGCTTCCCGAATGGTAAAATAAAGGAATTTCGAGAAGATATAGCCATACCAAGCAATCATATACCAAAAGTAATTGAACAACTACCACAGATGACTACTATACATGTTCATCAGTCAAACGACAAGTGTTTGACAAAAGCTATCATGGGATATACTACTGATTGAGGAATTTAAGTAGTCTGATGTAACTCACATCAAATAGTAGCCTTGGCTAGCCAAATCTAAGTGGTCCTAACACAAGAGGATCGTTTCCCTGCTTTGGATGAATTGAAGTCACTAGCACCCAGTTTGACTCAACTCAGAGAGCCAAAATTATTTCAAGCCATCCGAATTCTGGTTAGCTGGTTACTTCGTCGGCCTGGTAATACATTGCAGCAAAATTTGTAATTTAAAATATGTGTACCACATGGGCACTGTGGTTGTATGTAATTCCATGTTAATTTGTTTATTAGATGGATATATCACACAGTCAGTGAAACAGTATTATTATTTACTGGATGACAAAGTTTCGAACAAAATTCATTATGGTTCATAATCATTTCATCAATTATAATCACACAACTTCGAAACTCGAGTTTTATAGTTTTATTTGTTCTCTCCTATTTGTCGTCGTAGGGGTAGTAGAATTTTCCAGATATCCAGGTGGACAGCTGTTGAATCATTCCTGTTACACGTATTCTCTCTCAGTTGATTCGATAAACAAAGCTTCTGTTATCAATCTCTCCCTCCACCCTGCTGTTACATTAGATTTTAAAACTATCATCTTATCCCATCCATCCTATTGTATGGCTGTGTTGTGTGTAATTGCATTTAGTGAGTGCTATAGTTGAACTATTCTCCAGATTTCTTATCTTATTCGGGTCAACTAATCTAGATTTTGCTAGTTTTTTTGTGTTCCGCTGGTCTGGCTGCCCCTTTTCTACTAGTTCGACCTATGTATCTGACCCAACAATCATTGCAGCCAGGGTATAAATAAACTAAATTGTTTTGTTTAATTGGCTTCACAGGATTGATCCTTTAACCAACAAAGCTTATTTCTAATTGAGTTATTTTTTTTTGGGGGGGGGGGTGAATGCCACTTTTATTCCTGCATTGTTAAGAATTCTCCGGCATGAAGTTTCCGAGGTTCCTTCTCTGTATGGAAGTACTACTGATGATTTAAATTCCTTATTTTTAGTGTTGGCATCATTCTGTGAATGTTTGTCATGCACTTCGTCATTATTATTATCATTACCCAGTAATTAATATATAGGTCAGAGTAATAGGATGGGCCCAGTCAGACTAAGAGAGCACAAAAACGTAGCAAAATGTAGATTAGTTGATCCGAATAAGATTTGGAATCTGGAGAATAATGCAGCTATAGTGCAACGGCAGCAGGTAAGACACGGAAGCCAAGGTATCTTTTCAAGTGATCAAACAGTTATTTATATATCTATACAGTCTTATATTCTTTAACCAATCACTGAGCGTGTGATTTTGGTTTACATTAAACGACATGAAATAGAATGTTCAAATACACACATAGTATTCTGTTGCTAATGCAGTATTGAACTGTGGGAATATGTGAGAATAATATTCCGTTGGAACACATTGTCTGTATCACATCACCACAGGAGCAGTCAGCGATATGTCAACAGAAACCTGATATTTCCGTCCAATAAATGTCTGACGACGGGATATTCCAACAAATCCCAATTAATTCATTCTCAAAATGTGGTAACCATGATTGCGATAAATATTAAGGCGAATTAAGACGAATTTTTTTTTACAAGAAACTAAAGTGACACCAAATGAATGACTAACCTTCAGTCTGTGTTATATGTTCCCCAGTTGTATTCCTGTCGACAACATTATCACCAACACAAGAGGAAGAGGCTTGGAATGTCTGTGGTGGTGAATCAGAAGCACTTATTGCTGTTGTAGTTGTTGTTGGTGGTGGTGGTATTAGCGGTGGTGATGTTATGGTATTCTCACTAACAGCCTCATTACGTTGTCCTAAACGCTTCCTTTGCCATTGTGCAAGTTCCATGCGTAATGTTTTTGCTTGATCTATAGGATTTAATTTTCGACATCCAGATGATGAGGTAGAGGAAACAGAAGTTCCAATTCGGCGCACAGGTGGGGCATCAACAGATACCAAAGGCTGACGTTTGATAGATGACCTGATAGTACTAGATGACTGTGTATGCGATTTAGAAGTTATTGGAATTGATGAAGAAGGTCTCGGCATTTTTTGCTGAACATGTGGAATGCCTGTACTTTGAAATTTCTGAACAAAAGAAAAAATAATTGGATAAAAGATTGAAATGTGCTCACTTTAAAAGATCTCATAAAAAGAGACTCAATAACTCATTCAGACCGGTGAACAGAAAGGAGTAAAAAAACGAGAAATTAGACTAGCAATCCGCTTAAATTCTGACATTAACGACAGTCTGATGAATTGTTGGCGTCTTCAATTCAAAAACCCTACGAACGTGAAGTTCGATCAGGTGTGAGGTGAACAGGAATCATGAATGTCTGTTTTTTTTACTTCAGTTACCGATTTTAACTCATTCAGGGGTAGGAAGTTCACCAACCACATCTCACGTGGTCCTGAGTTCGATCCCCAATCAACGCAATCCTACACCTCACTAAGCCCGTAAAGAGGGAAGCTTGAGCGTGAGTTAGGCTAGCAACTACCCCCACCCCATAAAAATAAAACCAATGCTAACAAAACTTCAAAGCTCTAGCTTGAAGCCTTATGTTCCACTGGGAACGTCTGTCTGTACGTCTGTTTCAACATAGAACTTTGCACTGGTGTGCAGCAGTTCAAGCCGCCACACTACCCCTCCTTGTAGCACACAAAGGAAAAGAAAGTAAAAAGAGATGCAAAATAGAGACTGTAAACAGAGATATGAGGCAAAAGGAGTAGTAATATCGAAGAACAATATAGTTTGATTGGAAATTATAAGTTACAAGCAGTGGATGCATCTGCGCCAACCACTGAGAACGATTTTGATCCATATCACCGATTCTCTCCAGCCATTGCTGTTTACTGTCCCGAGGACTCCAACCAGCAGGTCTACATCTCCCTACGTGACTGGCATAAACTAATTGTTTTGGATTTCATTGATGAAGCCAAGTTTTGGTTTGACCGCCACTAGCTCTTTTCCAACCTCATCGATCCTATGTAAGCTAACATTGACCGTCAATCGAGGAAGGCGATGGCTAGGCATGCGTGTCTGATATACACCCTAACCATCTCACCCAGTCGATGTAGCTTCACAGCCTCATCGATTGGTTTTCCCTCCTAACCTACCTAGCACTCGACCGGCGCCTAGCCTCAATATTGTTCACTCTATTATTCCAGCTAACACGGGAGATAGAACGCAGGAACCTATGATCAAAGACAGCTAGCTGGCCTTTTTATGTCTTCCACTCTCAATGGCCATGTCTCGCTCACAGCCAGACGTGAAGGAGGACGGAGTGGACTGCTGAACAGTACACCCGCCCTTTGGTCGATAGCCAGCCGGATATCACGTCTTCGCCAGAGACGGTGTAAACTGGCATATGCAAAACTAGCTTCCTGTATCCGTGCTGACATTTCGTCGGCGATCAACCCACTGGCACTGTTTGATGCAACTTCTCAAATAAGTGAAGTGGTCAACACGCCCCGCCAAACACTTCACTCCCTAGGAGTGAGTCAATGTAGTCCAGTCCGGTAGCATCATCTTCCATTTGGTGAGAGCGAATCGCATGCCAAATATTCGAAGATTGCAGCTCAAGGTGTTCAAAAGACTCTGCTGTATTTTGTCAGCGTCTTCACCTAGCAGGGAGGACTATATCATCTGCATATTCTAAGTCAACGAGACTATTATTCCCTGACGGTAACAAGTCAATCCCTGAGTCTCTGAAGTCAGTCAGTTAGGGTTAAGTCCTTCAGTCCTTAACCCTGGGAACGTAAACGAATATAAAATAAGATAAAAGAAAAATAGGTCAACTACCTATTTCAGATACCAGGTCTTTAAATAACAAATGTATCTATGATTATGATTCTGTTGGCTTCCAAGTGAAATAGAACGCCTTCCTTCAGCAGCACACATCCATTTCATCTTGTTCTTTGAAGTCTTTTTTAACCAGCTCAATGATCACCCACTAACCTTTCACTTCCACTTCCTCACATGATCTCCTTTATATCACCCTGAATCAAACAACCAACTCATCGCCCAACCCAATTCGGGTTCCCTTCGAGGATCTAAATAGCGCGTGATACCACTCGGCGAACAGAATATTTTCAGCATTATCTCCTGAAGAACAGGAGTATGGTTCAGGGTGAAATGAATACACGGTACCACTCTGAAATATCAGACTTACATTTTTCATTGATGTTTGTACAACTGAAGCAGTACTCTGAAGGAATCCACGACTTGCAGGCTTCTGTCTCGGTAGAGCATGTGTTGTAGAAGAAGAAGAGGTTTGTGATTTTCCCCCGGTAGACGATTTAACCATACGAACATGATTAGCTAGTTTACTTGAAGAATCCTTTAAAGTTGGTTTATTCAATGAATGTTTATTTTGTGCATTAGATGACTTTATCTTTGCTGAAATATTCACCAACATATCAGCATTCAAAAGAACATCTTTAGCACTTATACTTTCAGGTGAAGCATCTAAAAACTGATCCTTCATATTTTTAACTACAGGAAAAAAGAAAATAAACAAAAAATAAAACGGATTACTTAAAGGAAGACTATTTATCGATCTTGTAAGAGTAGGCTGTTTAACCACAAACCGATAAGAATTAGGAGAACTTCGGAAACCATTCGTGTGCTGAACAAACGTTAATAGCTTTCCTATGTCCTATATCATTCTTTCTTTTGTGTTAAAATTTATACTACTTACAACTAGTCAGTAGTATGAGTTCATATTAGTTAATTCAAAACCCCATTGAGTCATATGAAAAACAGACGTTCAGCGAAGAGACTCTTTTCGGCGAATTCATTCACATAGCTGTACAATCACATTTATATACAATTGTTTGTGTTTGTGTGTCTAGATGAGGTTCGTCAAGTTTAGATAATTAATTGGGTAATGCAAGAATGATCTAATATAGAAACAAGGTTAATTAGAGAGCAACTAAAGTAAGATTGAGGTAGTAAGTTAGATGACGTAATATAATTGACTAAAATGTTTCAAACAAGGTCAGGATAGCAACAGAGGTAATCACAGGTAGAGACTAAGTAGAAGTGAGGTAGAGAATAATGCCATTTAAATTAGAACTGAAGTTGAGCAAATAAGTTGGATGACGTAACATAAATGACTAGAAATTTAGCGTTGGTCAAGTCAGTAACAGTGGTAATGAAGTGCAGAAATTAAATCGGATGGGGGTTGAGAACAGGAAAGTTGAAAATGTAAAATATTACAATTGAAAAGACAAAATAATACTAATGAAGAGACAAAAAGAAAGAAAAAGAATTTACCTGCGAGTGTAGTGATTGAACAAACTTCTTCTGTATGCAGAGTTCCGGACTTAGTAAGTGAATCACTATTGCTTCTGCAGTTTAAAGAAGTCTGACTCGTACACTTTTAGGAAGACTGCTTTGTATTCTGTAGACGACTTTGAAGTTTGTTTGGGGTGTAGCTTGATGTCCGGAATCTACAAGATATCCTAAGGTAGAGCTGCGGGGGCATCGCTTTTCTCCTTTGTAAAAACCATGCTGGTAAGTGTCCGGTGATACGTTTGGAAAGCGAACGCTGGGTACGGACGACATGCCTGGCTCTACTCGAGGGGGTGAATTGGTAGATACATATTTATGAGACCAGCAGTGATAGTTTATCCTTCACGTCCACATGAATCATGGGTTTTGTGGAGAAGGTTAGTCGTAGTTCTGCTGCAAAGGAGATTTTCTTAAGTGAGTGCGACAGTTGATTTTTCAGGGTTACCGCAGATATATCTCCATTGAATTGAAGGTTCAAGTTTCAAGACGCTAAGCGTGGGCGGCTTTTGCCGTCTAGGATTAATGGATTTTGCAATAATTCGTCCTAAGTAATAATTCTCGACGAGGATTCTCTTAAGATTGTCCAGTTCGTCTACTATGGTATCCAGGGTGCAGATTCTGTAGCTGAGTGAACGGATCAGTTTTCGTTTGGTGTACAGAGGTACCCAACTGTGAAAGTTAGTATGCTGTCCGTTCCACATCGAATTTCTGTAGATAGATCTTTTCAGTGTTCCGTCAATCAGGAAAACATTGGAAACCATTCGTATGCTAGACAGATGCTGTTAATCCCTTTCCTATCTGTCCACTGTTATTTCTTTTGTGTTAAAATTTATACTACTTACTAATAGTCAGTAGTATGCATTTATATTTAGAATTTAATTGGTGGATGTTGACTAGCAGTGGAATCCAGGATGCGCACTGGACACTGGGTTCGAGCCTCGATGGTGGGAACATCATCACTCACTGGGAAATGCAGTACATCCAGATGACGAGTCCCAAATAGGACGAAATGCGCATCCTGGCTAGATTAAATTAAATTAATTAACTCATTCGATGTATGAATACTCTATGTGGCGTATAGTAATTATTTTCTTATGGTTAAACATTTTCCACTGCATATGCTTCATACATACACCTTTCTGCGTTGATTAATGTACATTCAAATTCCTTTGTTCTTAGTCTAACATTTGCGCACTGTTTAATCTAACTGTGAAACGCCTTAAACACAGTTGGACTGTTTTTGATTATTGATGCACAGTGACTGTGTATTTGTTAGCATTCAGCCACAGACACCACACCATCTGAGGTTTGTATATTATGTTTCACTATTCTGCGTTCAATATAGTAGCGTTTTTTAGACAAATCCTGCGTTTTTTGGATCTTATGCGTTACTCAACAATGTTTGGATTATCACTCCAGATTGATTTTGGAAGAAATTCACGAAGGTTTTGTCCTAGTTTAAGACCTCTCATCAGACCAAATCCATAATCTCAAGAGATGAATACAATACCTTCAAATTACAAGACCAATCAGTTGACCATTCAACCTGAAGGTTCTGGATTCAACGCCTCTTGTGGATTCATGGGTGTGTGCACTAATGGAGAATCCCAAGGTGGGGTGGAATCAATATCCAGTGCTTCTTGGGCGCTCAAACTCCTGGGGTTGTGCTACAGGTCCTCGCTATGTTTTTTTATTTCGACATGAAAAAGAAAATATTCTAGTTCCCGAAGAATGCCAGTGTTTTAAATCAAAGGAACTAATTTTTTTTAAGGGTTTCGCTTCAGTAATTGTCGGAGAAATCATGTCTGATTCCCACTGTCTTCAAATCTCAAGATAAAATATGCAAACGGACAGAAAAATGGGGGAGCAATGGGATCATGAATATTTTTTATAGTAAATAGAAGATATATTCATAGATATTTGTAAAATCTCAGCGAGATTGAAATAAGTAATTCCAACGTTTCGTTCGGCAATCTGGTCCGAGCTTCTTCAGGGAAATTAATCGAAATTAACATTACATAGGTTTATATATAAAAAGAACATCGCTTGATTTTAAAGCTTTTTGTCCAATCATGAGTCATTCAACAAGTATAATAAACAAAATTTTATGAGCTGTGATCAAAATTTGACCTCGGACTTACAAATATTAGTCTACCTTTGTTAAACACTTTAAACAGAGTGTGTATGTGTGTGTGTGTGGGTAAACAGTTGTAAAATATTTCTTAACGACTCCATCAGAAGATATGGACAGTCGAGAATTTTGACCAAGTATTAATAATTAGTGATACATATCCATTTTTTATTTATTAATAAGGATTTCCTATGCATCAGCAAACATCACGCCTTCATGTCTGTTCAAACTGTTAGTATCTAGAATTTTATGATTAGACATATTTTCAAAATTATGGTGTTTAGGATTAGCGTTTAGTAGAAGCACCTTGTCGGACTTATTGCTCTGTCTTCTTTCTGAATATTGAGCTGCTTTATTCGACTTACTGGAGTTGTCAGGTGACTCGACAGCTACGGATTTAGGATATGCATTCCGTTGCAGACAACGGAGGGTGAAAACACGATGATTGTGCCAATTACACAGTTTCTTCGTTAATTTAATTCGATTGCAAAAAATTCAAATGAACTGTCGTTAAGATTTGACTGAATAGTTCTAAAATATTTGGGCGCCGAGTGAGAAGTAGACATTTGTAATATTTTAGAACTGTTCTGTCAAATCTTGACGAAAGTTCATTTGAATATTCATGGATAGTTGGGGGGTAAATGAGGCTTTTATTACGTTTAATCCCATTCCTAAAGTACGATAGAGCTATGTATAGACAATAACACATTCAGAGTTTCGAGAAATGAGTGTACCCCTCATTTCTTCACACATACATACATAATCTCAGTAGTAGAATTCCATTGACTTTCAAATGAGGAAGATATCAGATTTTATCGAAAAATCTATAAAGATCCATAAGGGAAATAAAGGTAGCAATGCGAATAATGAAAATAATATAAGTAATATGGAATTCAAAACCTCCATTGTACTGATATAAAAAGAAGGAACACCAGACGCCCTATTATTATTATTATTCCCTTGCGTTCCTAGTAGAACATAGGACTGGCTTCAACAACACATCTCCACTTTGTTCTGTTCTCTGTTGTCCTTCTAGGCTGGCTAACCACACACGATTGCCCATAATCTTTCATCTCCTTCATGTCACTCTCGCACCGACAACCCACTCGTTGCTCCCCCTACAGATGGCCTCCATTGTGCACGATGTCATTCGACGGTCTCCTCAGTGTATGCCCAATTCCTCTGCATATTTGTTGAGCAATTGGTTCTTGGTTAGTTTGTATCCCCTAGTTTCTTCTAGCTAATTCTTTCTGGTCGGCCATTTGATCTTCACTATGGAGCAGGCTAGAGGTGTCAGCGGTTGATAAAAGTCTTCAGTCCCTATTAGTTTGTTTATTAGATGTATCACACAGTCAGTGAAACAGTATTATTATTTACTGGATGACACAGTTTCGAACACAATTCACTTATTGTTCATAATCATATCATCAATTATAATCACACGACTTCGAAACTGGAGTTTCATAGTCTTCTTGCTCCTCTCCTATTTGTTGTCGTAGGTGTGGCAGTAGAATGCATTTCCAGATATCCGACTGGACAGGTGTTGAATCATTCCTATTACACGTATTCTATCTCAGTTGATTCGATAAACAAAGCTTCCGTTATCAATCTCTTTACCACCCCCTCAACCCTGTTACATTAGATTTTAAAACTGTAATCTTATCCCATCCTATTGTATGGTTGTGTGTAATTGCATGTAACAGTTGATCTATTCTCTAGATTTCTTATCTTATTCGCGTCAACCAATCTAGATTTTGCTAAGTTTTTATGTTCGGCTAGTGTGACTGCCCCTGTTCTACTACTTTGACCCATGTATTTGATCTGACAATCATTTCAGCAGGGTATTAGATAAACTAAATTGTTTTGTTTTAAAGGCTCCACAGACAGGATCGTTTAACCGACAAAGCTTGTTTCTAATTGAGTTTGTGGTTGGTTTGAATGCCAGCCACTTTTATTCCTGCCTTGTTAAGAACTCTCGGGCATAAGGTGGTTTCCTAGGTTCCTTCTTTGTATGGAAGTGTAGGGAAAGATTGATAACGGAAGCTTTGTTTATCGAATCAACTGAGATAGAATACGTGTAATAGGAATGATTCAACACCTGTCCAGTCGGATATCTGGAAATGCATTCTACTGCCACACCTACGACAACAAATAGGAGAGGAGCAAGAAGACTATGAAACTCCAGTTTCGAAGTCGTGTGATTATAATTGATGATATGATGATGAAAAATAAGTGAGTTGTGTTCGAAACTTTGTCATCCAGTAAATAATAATACTGTTTCGCTGACTTTGTGATATATCTAATGAACAGACTAATATGGAATTACATAATACCACAGTGCCCAAGTTTTACACATACATTAAAAGTCTTCAGTCGCCTGTTAAAAATACTTTTCGTGACGCGCAAAGGAAGTTTCTGGAACCATATGGAAGAAGTGCCTGACTAACTTCACATTTATGTTGAAAATCCAAATCATGTTGTTTTTGCTGGCTGAGTGAAGTAGAAGACTTCCAAACTAGTTTCAGATTGATGAACGCCTATCTTGCCTCTACAGTTCTGGCTAGCTTTGACATGTTGTTGTTGGGTGGTTGGTTGGTTATCTTATGAAGAACAAACATCAGAAGCCTCCCCTAGTTTACCAGCCCGTTAGATTTCTAGCTGGTCCCAAGCCCGTGAGGGTTGGGTGTGGGGGCTATCGACTCTACCCCCGGAAAACTAATCAACCTGCTACGGAAACTTCGACACACAAGAAAAGAGGGAATTAAGGTAGCCATAATGAATCGACTATGAGATCAACTACACATAGATCAAATTAGTAGATCAGGATTAGTAGGATTTTTGGGAAATAGGTTTATTTTTTTATCGAAAATAATCTATTTGAATTCAAATAAGATTACTTCATAATGAGGGGATATCCTGGACCGACGTGAAGAGTCTAGAAGAACTGGATTTCGCGGATGACTTATGTTTGATGTCACACAAAATCGAAGACTTGTAAGCAAAACCGACAAACTGCTCGAAGAAGCAGGCAGTGAAGTCAGGACTCCAGGTGAACATAGACAACACGGAGGTTATGAAAATAACCAACCGACAACAACAACAACAACAACAGCAACATCCAGCGCCAATCACCATCAACGGGAGGGATATGAAAGAGGTTACTTCTTTCACTTATCTAGGGAGAATTGTCTCAACTACACGAGGAACGGACGAGGATGTCAAATCGAGAATCAGGAAGGCGAGAAACACATTCATCAACCTGAAACCAATCTGGAAATCTTCGTCACTCTACTCACCATCAACAACAAAATTCGGATTTTCAATACAAACGACGTCAAGTCAGTCAGTTCTTCTATACGGATGGATCAGAAACTTGGCCAGTGTGTCACAAAGAATATTTCCAACAGCCTGTTGCAGACCTTTATCAACAACTGTCTTCGCTGGCTCTATACTCAAGATCAGATAGCCAGAAAGGATCACCAACAAAAGACTACGGGAACAAACAAAACAGGAACCAATCGCTCAACAAATATGCAGGAGAAAGTGGAGATGGATTGGACACTCGGTGAGCTGAGGAAGCCACTGGATGACATCGCGCGTCAGGCCATAGTTCGAGTGGAACCCGAAAGGGAAGCGGTGAGTAGACGTGGACGTCCAAGAGTGACATGGAGGAGACCGTGTGAAGAAGAGTTGAAACAGTATGGACTAACATGGATACAGGTGAAAAGTACAGCAGAAGACAGAAGCAAGTGGAGACGTGTAGTTGAAGCCCTATGTTCCACTAGGAATCCAAGGGAACAATAATAATAATAGTAATGATAATAATAATAAAGATGTGCACCATTGTTCAGCTCGAAAAGCAAAGAATAAACAAATAAAAAATAAATAAACATACCGATTTCAGAAGATTGTGAAGTGTTCATTTCATTACAGCGTGTTTCATTCTGTTGAAAAGATAGTAATGAAGCTGTCAGTGAAATATCTTTAACAACAACCTCCGATTGGCTACACAATTTTAGATTACTATCTGAAGCATAATGTGGTGTTGCAATGCTGTCATTCTTCATTTCATACACTTCATCAGACGATTGGAAATCTTTAACAAAGACACATGGTAATGAGGAAGAGAAAGAAGAAATTGATGAAGCATTTTGGTAATATTGATGGTACTGCTGATGATGATATTGATGGGAAAATTCACTGACTGCACCTTCAGCAGGACTTGATGGTCGAGGATTATAATGTGAAGTATCAATTTCTTTTTCATCATTCATTGTAACCTGAAACGGGAATCAATCAATCAATTAATCAATATATAAATATATTATATAATAATAATAGTATGAAATGCGATTAAAACTAAAATGTTTGTGATTACAATCATAGTTAAATGTCAAGTGGCAAAGCAAATTAATGTCACATATATAGAATAATTCATAGGATGTATAGAACTTGAAAAAGGGTGTCCAATTATAAGATTAGTAGACAAATCGAATAAAATAAAACGTTACGTAATATTGTGTGAAATTTGATAACATAGAATTTAACGTTGCAAAACAGAATTGATTTAGAATGACAATTGGAACAAGTGAAATAATACTGGGGTCAGTTCAAAGTGAGAATAGTAATAGTAACAATTGACGCAATGAAGGAAGAGTATACAAACTGGATAAACAAAATGAAAAAATTGGTAGAGCTAAAATATGATTGGGGATTACCATACTTTAGCATAGAGGGATTAAGACCATGGAAGTTGTAGGAGTTGAACGAACTTTTTCTGTACGCAAAGATCTGACTTTCCTGTTTCGATAGCCAAAGCTTCAGCAATATAGATGAGTCAGGTACGTAGGGATTTGGGTAAATTACTCTTTTCCTTGTAGATGACTTTCAAGGTGGAGGCTGCAGAGATCATTGGGTGATCATTATTGACCAGATGTTCAATGATTGCGCTTCTTATTGCTCCAGTTCCACCTCTTCGTAACTATGCAGGATAGTGTTCTTGCACCCTCTTGGACAAAACTAGAGTCGAACGACCAATATACCTAGCTTTACACCTATATTTCAATTTCCTCATCGGATATAACTTCTTAAAATTATATAATCACAACAGTTATGGAATACAGATTCACACGAGGTTTATCCCAAACAAGGACACCCTAAGGCGATCGCTGAGTGATATCACGTGCCGGGCCCCCAAATGGAACCTTAAAAGGAAACGAAGAGTTCTACATTGACTAGAAGACAAGATGACAGCTCATGGGCAATCGTGAAGCCAGCGAAAGAGGACTGGAGAAAGATGGGCGCATGATTTTGGGTATATGAAATTCATGATAAAAAAAGGCTTTTTGTATTTCCCAATGAATGAAAACAAAACGATATTGTTGCTGCTTTTACTGATGTTTCGCCATTTAATGCTGCTGCTAATAGCTTTATCAAAGTAGTAATATTAAACCAGAGTTTACAAATTCAGACTTCGAATCATCACACCTCATCAGCGCAAAGGTATCAGTTGTTTCAAGTCTTCTTAGACGACCACACTCTTTGATGTTAACGGATGAGAAAGAAAAAGTGGAAGAAGAAATATCAAACATTACTGAGACTCTCAAGCGAAATAACTACGCAAAAAACTTCATCAACAGAAAGTCAACACTGACATTAAGTATGGTCGAAAACGTATTCCGGAAACATGAACTTCAACAGTCATCATCATTCCATATCGATCAGAGACGTCAGACGATATCAGAAGAGTACTCAATAAGCTCGACATCAGAGTTTTCTTCAAAACATCAGACACGCACACACTAGAGAGCAACCTTGTCCATATAAAACACCGAATCCCTAAAGATTCTCTATCTAATTGTGTCTATAAAATAAAATGCTTGGAATGTGATGCGACATACATCGGACAAACATCACCAGAGAGGAATCGAGGTAATCAGAAGAAACGAACACCGTAGAACCCGCCTCTGTTCGACCACCGAGAGATAAATCCAGTTGAACTAGAGAAGCTTGAAAAATCATCAGCCAGCCATAGGTCATCTACACGCTACGTGATAGAATCAAGTCAGCAAATCGATTTTGACAATATTGAAATCATCATCCAGAAAAAGCATTTCAGAAATCACAAACAACGTCTAATATCATTAGAAGCACTTCATATCATCAAATGGAATCCAAATTGTCTGAAATGTATAGGAATGATGAACTAGAACAGAATTTGATCTGCTTACAACACCCTACCTCACTCCCCCACGAAATGACAAAATCAATACGAATGTGATAAGCAATTTCATTATGTAAACACACGCTGCTTTTATAATTTTACACATTTATCAAATCTAACAGTAATCTACACCTGGTTCTGTTATCTTCACCAGTTGGCCAACTTGACAACAACGTAAAGATGACCTCATACTGAGGAACGATGATTAAGTTGTTGCATAATATAAATTCCGGTTTAATAATACTTTGATAAAGCTATTAGCAGCAGCATTAGATAGCGAAATGTCAGTAAAAGCAGCAGCAATATCGTTTTGTTTTTCATTCATTCACTGGGAAATACAAAAAAGAACCTTTATTATAATGAATATCATATACCACCCAATGCCCAAATTGTTTCAAACTGTTAAAAGTGAACTTGGTTCGGACATATATATGACTATTTGAATACACATTTAGTCTAATGTATTCGAATAGCCTAGGCAAACACCGTTTACTTTCAGTCAGTCATACTCAGTATGTGGGTGTATGATTTATTATGAGATATTTGCTTTCATTGTACAAGATCCACAATAATACTCAGTGCGCAATAGTGTTTCATTTTGAACTGCACTGTAGCTCTAGGCCGGTGTAACGGAAGAAGACAAGATACTGGGTAACAGAATGTTTGTTTGGCAATTTCACTGTGTAAGAATCTTTCTTACACTATACTGGGGGTCTGAGGGCGAAGTCGTACTGCAGGGGAACAGGAATGTAACAGCAGTGAGGTGTTTCCCTCATATGACCAACATGCCAGCCAACTATGCTGTCTCCCCACTCTAGAGAGAGAGGGTTACAAAAGGTCGACCACAACAATTGCACATCCCAACTTAACCTACTGTGGTCCGTAACCGGCGGGAAGTTTACTAATACAGAACCAAACCAAGAAACCAGTTCATACAGGCCGTGTAAGACCGGTCAGCCTCAAGCAGTTGTCCCCTGGGCTCTGCGGTCACGCAACACTAACCCTCTTTCTTTTTCACGTACCCGAAGAATCCGTCAACTTCCACGGTGTGGGAGGGGCAGTCGGGAAGAAAAAACCGCTCACACACTTCCAAGGGCATACGAAGCCCCTCTCCCCGAGCATCATTCTCCTCAACCCAATTTCATAGAAATTATGTATACCTTATATTAAAATCATCATTTGCATAGATCTTCCGTGTTGCGCTATTTCTACCTTCCTTCGTCGCCGACCATGCACATGGTCCACAGCTCGATCCCCTGCCGACGCACACTTGATATAAATGGTTGGCCTGCAAAATTTGGGCTACCGATATCACATGCTGAAAATCCCATGTTTGTACCAAAAATACTGTGTGGTTTCAAGCTATTATCAAATCTTTGCGTTCTGTGTCGAAAATAGAGCTTAAGGCTTGAATTTTAAAGTTTCATTAACCGTGGTGCTCTTTTGCGATTATGTTATCAGTGAACTGAACTGAATAAACCCCGTGGCTAATGTGTGTTATGTCTGCGCCTGTTAATTACTATAACGGTAATGAACTCGACTGGTACACTAATACGTCCCTATTTGTCCGTTGTATCTTCCGATTTAGTGAGCCACACAAATATCAAAAGACAAAGGATGGCCTGTGACTGTAAGATGTACTGTATTGTACATCTATTAAGAAACAAAACATCCTATTTAAACATTTAATTTATCACAACAATACAATTGGCTCACAACCGTGAGAATGGACTGTTCTTATTGGCTGGAAATGTCTATTCTGATTGGTTGGTGATCAGACAAAGATCAAGGTGAGACAAAAGATGATGAATTGATCACACACAATAAATCACAATACGCGGTAGAAATGATACATTCACGTAGTAACTCCATGACAAGATAAATCACACGATTCGTGAGAGAGGATGGTTTACTATTTTATATTAAGTCCTATCAGATTACGAGGTAGTGGTTGTTAGCCTTACGCCCGAACTTTCTTCTTTTCCATGCTGGTAACCATCAACTAGTAGACTAGTCGGCTGAAGAGGCCGGCTTCAGTGGCTTGGACATGTACTACGAATGTCATTCGAGAGGAGGCTTCCGTACAGGTTTCTTTTCGTTAGCCCTGGGATGGGATGCAAAAAGCGGAGAGGTAGTCAGCTCATGACATGGCATCGTGGGATGAAGAATATTTGTGTGTACATCACGACTTCCTGGTCGGGGTTCCGGAGATAGCTGGGTGGCTTAAAACTTTATCGGATATGGTCATGAATCAATCAGTCAATGGCGAACGTGCTGCAATTTCTTTCTTTCTTCCCTTCCTAACAATAATTGACGAATGCTGTCTGGACCTGTTGAATATTAACTGTTTTCCTCCCAGTTGAAGTACTTTTTCCGTTCTCTACCTATGTGGTGAGAGCTGTCTGCTAGCCAAAATTGGCAGACAGCAATTGACGTCAATGTTCACCTCCCAAATCTTGGTCATGAGAAAAAAAAGCAAAAACAAAGACTAACTCAACAACCAATCACAGCAGACTCTGCGTGGGCGGATACGATTGGCAGATATATGGTCTGACCTTCAAAGAAATGGCTACAAAGAGATGACAGAATAACCTTCAACAAGAAAACAACCAATCAGAAGACGCTGTTTCTCTGTTAACAATAACGAATAATAATATACATAAAAATCTTTAATATCTATTGATTTCCTCAATAAACGATCTGTTGCCTGGCCCTTGTCTTCTGTCACTACACCTATACTTATACCGCAGGTTGTTTTATTATTAATAGTACCATACTGTTTTTTTTGTGTTTAAATAAAATATAAATAATAATAGTAAACCAGGTGAGATTAAGGAGTGCACGCCGGTCGGGAATCGAACTCCACACCATATGTGTGATTGGCGCGCACAGAATTATTAACAGATCAAAATAATACCAACTTACTGCAGTATTCCTATTATCAACAGATATTTCATCGTGTCCATCAGTGGAATTGACAATTCTACTTCCAAGAGTTCTTACAGTCTCTTGAATTCCATTGCTTGACTTCTCCCAAATACTACTTGAATCCATGACTGTTGTTGTTGTTGTTGTTGAATATTCCATAGTTCTTTTGAATGTATTTTTTCCTTCAGCAGGTGCAGATATTAAGTTCTCTAATTTGTCTAAAGATACCATTGATAATCTAGAGCCTAAACAAGGCGCAATTTCAGCTTCACTTGGTTCGACTGGTGTATAGGGAATATTAGCGCGTAACTGACGGACTGTATCATTATCGCCATCATCATCGCCGTCTGCACCACCATCGGCATGAATCTCTTCTTTAGATGATGGTGGTGATGCTGATTGCTGTTGTAACTGTGAAGGTTTCTCGGCGGTTGGAACACTATGATCCTGTCGGCTGTCTAATTTATTCTCTAATACATTCTCAGGCGGTGAATACGTCGTACTAGATAAATATCCGAAATCTGATGACTTTCTACTATCTGTCCATGATGAAGGAGTATTGGAGAGATTAATAAAATCAGATGTTACTTGAATTGTATGCACTGACTCCTCAGAATTAGCTTCATCCAATCGTGGTAAGGGTTTAAAGCGTACACCTCCTATTGAATGATTGTTTGATGATGGTGTATTAGAACTTTGTGCTAATGAATTTCCATTTTCATTATATTGTTGAGCATTTCTAGATAATTTTGAGGATTTATTCAAATCAGAAGTTTGTTTTATGCGTGATTCGCATTGCGCTTCTGACCAATTTATTTCATCAGTGTTGGTTACTTCAGAGAGACTGTGAAATTCTCTATTTGATCCTGTTCTCGTCGATGTTGTTGCTGGTGATGATGATTGTAAGGACGGTGAACTGATCGGTTTACTTCGATTTAAGTTAGACAAGTGAAGAAGTCGATCTTTATTAGCCTGTAGTGTAAAATTTAGAAGAACACAAAAATGTCAGTAAACCATATCGCATTTTCATTTAGAACTGCTTCAGGCTTTAATATACCTGTTAATTCCTTCCCTACATGTTCATTCTCAATCTTTCCTTTGTTCAACATAATACTACTTGCCATTAGTAAGTAGTATGATTTTTATATGTTAATTTATAACAATGACATTTGCTTACAACTACAGTTAAATTACTTGTTCTATTATCATTCTATTAATGTATAGTTCTTATTTTTCTTCTCCTTAAACATTATCTGCTGACCTTACCCTATAGTGTATGCTTTACTAGTGAAAGTTGTTTGTTCACATTGGTTTATTCTTTGCTTGGCATTCGCGGGCCGTTTCAACCGACACGTGGATCGACCTTGACGCAGCATTGCTGTTTTTGCTTATTGACTGCACAATGGTTGTGCTTTTGACGGTATTTAGCCACAGAAACCTCACATTTTGAGGTTTGTATATTATATATCTATTTTTATGTAATAAAGTACCGTATTGCAGAATATCCTGTATTCCGGAATTTACGCGTCACTCTACGTGTGGTTAAATCTATAGTTTGGATTATCGTTTCGGATTTCTTTCGGGAGAAATTCACAATACCTATATAACTTTATATATTTATATATACATATATATAAATTATTATTATTGTTTCCTTTAGTTCCTAGAGGAACATAGGGCTTCAGTCGCACGTCTCCATTGCATTCCCTTCTCCACCAACCTTTTCACATGCTCCATGTCACCCTTGGACGACCTACTCGTCGCTTCCCATCCCTGTTCCACTCGCGAGAGAGGCTGGCGTGTGACGTCACTTGCATGGTATTAGATAAACTAAATTATTTCGTTTATTAGGCTTTACAGGATTGATCCTTTAACCGAATGCGAGCCACTTTTATTCCTGCCTTGTTAAGAATTCTCCGGCATAAGGTTTCCGAGGTTCCTTCTTTGTATGGAAGTACTAATGATGACTTATATTCCCTATAGTGATGCTGATGTCATTATCCTCTGCATGTTCGACATCCATGTTGTTAACAATATTATTATTGTCATTATCACTACTATTATTATTTATTTTATTTTTACATTTCCCTACATACTTCCTGATTAATTTATCAAGGTAATTATTAAGATTCAAAGCTTCTCCTCTTATATGCCTCACTTCCTGCATTAGATTTTCTTTGCTACCACTTGGTTTTTGTTCTCTGTTACTTAGACATTGCACCAATCCTACTTATTAGAAAAAAGCTTTGTCGGTTAGAAGATCCTAAGAAGCCTTTAGAACAAAATAATTTAGTTTATCTAAAATCCTAGCTGTAATGATTGTCAGTGGGCTCAAATGCATAGGTCAAAGTAGTAGAACAGATGCAGTCAGTCAGACTAGCCGAACATAAAAACCTAGCAGCAAAATCTAGATTAGTTGACCCAAATAAGATAAGAAATCTGGAGAATAGTTCAGCTATTGCAAGCACTACATGCAATTGCACACAACCATACAATAGGATGGATGGGATAAGATGACAGTTTTAAAATCTAATGTAACAGCAGGGTGGAGGGAGAGATTGATAACAGAAGCTTTGTTTATCGAATCAACTGAGAGAGAATACGTGTAATAGGAATGATTCAACACCTGTCCAGTCGGATATCTGGAAAATTCTACTACCCCAACTACGACGACAAATAGGAGAGAACAAAGAAAACTATAAAACTCCAGTTTCGAAGTCGTGTGATTATAATTGATATGATTATGAACCACAATAAATTTTGTTCGAAACCTTTCATCCAGTAAATAATAACACTGTTTCACTAACTGTGTGATATATCCAATAAACAAATGAATATGGAATTACATAATACCACAGTACCCAAGTTTTACACATATAGTAATTTGAAGCTTTTTTGAAAATGTGAGAGACGAAGGTGTAACGGCAGAAGACAGGAACGTTCATTAGCAATTTAGTATCTCTACATAGCGAAATTATGTACATCTTATCTTCAAATCACCATTTGTACAGAGCTCCCATGTTTTGCCACTACTATCCTTCCGTCATATTGTGTTCCTTCCACGTCTACCATGTATCTCCACAACTCTGTATCATTTGCTCTCTTTTATATCAAATCTATCTCCCTACCATTTGATGTTTTTATGTTGACGAACGTCTCTTTCTATACTACTGATTAATGTTATCAGTAGCACACGTCACACAGGCACAACGTAAAAGAACCTGCTCGGACAGTACATACACAATCACCACGTCAAAGTACCAGTGATCGGTCGCGCATGTTTCAAAGATAATTGAAATTAATATTTTTTCCAAAAATTAATTAAATGGGTAAATTCTCTATCAACTATCCAAAAGCAAACTTACACTAATATATTTATTAAGAACACGTTTTTTTATCGATTTAATTAAATCAACATTTAGTGGTGAATCGTTTGATGAATTTTGATTGGTTAATAAATTCTCAGCATTACCATCACATGAAGGTCGGACTATTGATTGGAAATCTGAGGCATTAGTATTCTTTTCGATATCTATAAAGCAAAATTAAATAGAGGTATAGAAAACGGAAATTATTTGCATATAAAAGTCGGCATAGAATATGGAAAAATTAATAATAACAGCTTTAGACTTAAAAGTTTTTATATAATTTACAGAATTTTCAGAGGAGTTTATGACATGATATTTTCTACTCGTATAGGATCTTTAAATAAAAGACTAGTTACTAGTGTCCAATTCAAATACCCACTACAGTCCTACGGGAGGTCAATCGTGAGCCCGAATAGCTCAGTGGTAACGTCTCTGATTGCAGCACTGAGTGACGCGGGTTCGAATCTCAGAAGGGATATGAGTTCCTTCAACGTTGCAGATACGCCTTGCTGATGAGTGCCAAATAGCACGAAACCTAGGTCCAAGGCTTTCTGTGGCCGATTGCATCCAACCATCTAATATCATCACAAACAATGTACACCGTGATGGCGAGCTACCTAGAATGGTGGCCACATTGCGAAACCTGACTGACTGATAGAATTCAGTCTGCACCAAAGAAAGGACTAGACACGTCATACTAGTTACTAGTGTCCAATCTAAAAGACTAACTGACAATAGATCGTGTGACGGAGTGCTGTCTGACCTGAAGCGCAAATCAATCCACCATTATGATATCTCTTCTTCTCCGTCCAGAAATAAACGACATTTCGTTGAATGACGACTATAAAAAGTTCACAAGTACACTTTGTGAACCAAGGTCACCACCACACAGGAACGGTCATCTCATGTATTGGGATAAGCTTCCACCCATCGAGGTTAATGTTTTTTCTAATGTTTGAATAACTGACTGACTGGTTTAAACATAGAACTTTCCACCAATGTGCAGCAGTTTGAGTTGCTACACTCCCTCCATGTAGAACACAAAGCAAGCGAAGAATGTAAAAAGCAATGCAAAATAGTGACAGTAAACAGAAATATGAGGCAAAAAGAATAGTAATATCGAAGAACAATATAGTTTCATTGGGTATTATAAGTCACAAGGAGTGGATGCATCTGCGCCAACCATTGCGAACGAGGACTTTGAGCCATATTACCCAACTGTCTCCAGCCTCCCTTGCTGTTTACCGTCCCGAGGACCCCAACCAGTCAAAAGGTCTACACCTTCCTACGTGACTGGCTGGCTTAGACTAACTGTTGTGGATTTCATTGACTGATGAAGCCATGTTGGCTATGGTTTGACCACCACATCCAACCTGACCCTATGTCAACTAACATTCCCCGTCATGTTGAGTAGAAAAATGCGAATATGCAAGTTGTAAATGTTTCAAATACTCGTTAGAGTAAACAAATATTATGAATTGTATTGCCAAAAGTCTTTAACCGTTAAGTCTTGGCATTGTTACGACCCCTACCAGGTAGTAGTCTACACATCCCTGCGGACTGATACCATGTCTTGTTGTGAACACCGCTAATTTTTTCCAATCTTAACCTATGTCGGTTAACATAGCCCGTCGAGGAGGTGTTAGTCTCTTGTCATGCACAACCGGTATCTTAGGCATCTGAATCAATGTACCTTCACAATCTCATCAATTGACCTGCCTCCAATACGTAACACTATAGCTAATCTCAATACTGCTCACCATACTATGCCATAAAACACAGGAGAAAGAACACAAACATCTGAGAATAAAGATAACTAGAATTCTCACACGTCCCACTTTCAATGTCTATGCCTCACTGCCATAAAGAAGGACTTCGTTGACTGGTGAACACTACGGTACGTCCTTTGATTAATAGCCCGATATCATGTCTACGCTAGAGGGAGGGGATGTAAGTTGGCAAATGTGATGTCCTGTTATCATGTTCAATGAGGAGCTTAAGATTATTAGAGAATTACTTAGAAAATGTGGTTATCCAGATAAATTTATTGAGAAAAATATGAATTCAGCACCAAGAAGAGTCAGTATGGCTACAGTTCTGAAAAAACCAATGTTCATTAAATTGCAGTTCCTCGGTGACAACATCAGCGAAATAGTAACACAGAGCCTCAAGAATGCAGTTAAAAGAGCTTATTATGCAGCAGAGACATCTTATCTCTTTCCATCCACCCCTATTCTACGTTCGAGAAATAAGGATAAACTACCTAAATTTGCCTCTTCTATGTGTATCTACCAGTTTGACTGCAGCTGCGGAGCCAGTTACATTGGGCGTGTAATTAGGCAGTTTCATCGTCATATTTCGGAACATCATCCAACATGGTTAAGCAAGGGACAAACAAGATCTTTTCGTAGTTCTATTGTAGCACACCTTGTAGACACCTGGTGAGCATAAGGTTGATGTGAATACTGCATTTTAAATTATTTATATCATTCCGACTGATCCTAATTTTGCTCTACAAGTTCGTCTTTTACAGACAGCTGAAGCAATCGGAATCCACCTGAAGAAGCCAAGCCTATGTGTTCAGGAGAAATTTGATCAGCCACTTTCCTTACCTTGGCCATTGTTACAAGAATGCATAAACAGGACTACGTCGCCCCCCTCCCCCTAAACCTATTAAATTATAATTGTCCAAATTATTTTATTTTTATTTATTTTGACCACTTCATCTTTAATTAAGTGTTATCCTTGTAAAATTAATTTATTCTAACCATTTCTACCTTTTAATTTTGTGTGTATTGATTTTCTTCGTTAATTATCACCCCACTGCTTGACATGTTGACACCGACTGACTAATTATTGTTAACAAGCATATCAGTGCCACTTGATTGGTAAACTGTTGTGTATTGTAATAAAAATGCTATACAGAATATATTAGAGTAGAGCCAGAGATGAGGATCTAATTGAAAAGTAAATATTTCTTCGCTCAATCTTTTTTATTTTCCAAATTACTATTATGTTTAGTCATTGGAGAAGACCAGCAAATAGCTCTGAACCTAGGTTTCATATCTATTGGCACTCATCAGTAGGCCATATTTGTAATCCCTAAAGAATCGATGTTACCCCTCCTGAAGATTCAAATCAACATCCCCAGGTGCCATAGTCAGAAACTTGACCTCTAAACAATTGCGGATCACGAATGACAGAATTCAGAAAAACTTTATAAGAAATGGAAATTCCTTTGAAAGTCTTAAATCTAAATCAATAAACATTAATATAAGCATAAAAATGTTTTATAGAGAGTGAATGCATCAGCACAACTAAGAACAATTTTGAGCCATGTCACCAATATTCTCTAGCCATTGGTTCTCAGTATTTCGAGGACCACAGCTAGACATTCTCTATACTTAATTTATTATTATTGTTCCTCCCATGGGTTCTGTGTGGAACATAGGGCTTCAACAACACATATCTACTTTTTCCTATTCCCTGTGATCCTCTTTAGCTGACCTAACGATTACCTGCGGTCTCCGACCTCCTTCCTGTCACCTACACCCGTCGAACTAGTCGTTTTCCATTCAAGTTCTACTCGAGAGTCAACAGGGCAAGTGATGTCATTTGACGGTCTCGTCAGACTGTGTCCGATCCATCTCTATTTTCTTCAGCATACACCTTAGTTAAATGGCTCAAACTGGCAGTCATAAACTTAACGGATCGATGCTAAGTTTTGGTTCAAACTCCTTCGCTCCTAACTCAACTCCAAGTCTACCCTGTGAGAAAGACCCAAATGATATTCATCACCTTACGTCATATCTGGTGTAGATATGATATGCAGCTACCTATGAGTGGCATAATTTACAAACACCAGCTTGAAACACCTTTGTAGTCAAACTGTCAGCTCATCTTGCTATGTCTCGTGTAAGACTAGGGACAACTTTTGCAACGCCCGATATCTATATCATAATCAGGTAGGTGTTCGGTTCTAGGCAGATTTGGAGTGGTTGTAAGCCAGCTGAATTGCTCTTCAATGTGGTCCCTCCAACGTTACAGTCATCTCTCCTGAGAAGTAATTAAAATACCATTCTTCTCGGAGGTTGACTTACCTAACATTCTTTTCTTACAAATTATTTCCCCAATAAATCCAAATTAGTGTCTGGTATTTCTTACCACTGATACCTCTTCTGTCTCTTCAGCGTTAAACTAGACAGCTCTTTTCACTTCTCCAAAAATCCAGTCAGTTGGCGTGTAGGGTAGGATTTTGAAAAGATATCTGTTAGCTGCACAATCTCTCCGTCTTTTCACAAGTCCCTTCAGCTGGACAATACACATACGACTGTTCAGTTGAAACTGATCCATTAGTGACCTTTCCTACCAAGCACTCAGAGCACCAGAAAGTTCACGAGAATCAGCCGAAGAATCTCGTGACAACCATAAGGTGAATTTAGTAGATTTATCGTACTAGCCAGTTGTCGTTAGGTGGCTAACCGCATTACTTTTGGCCTGTATTTTTATGTCTGTGGACTGTAGATTCATCCGAGTGTTGTGATTTTAAGGAATTCAAATATCACGTCAGCACAATGACTAACATCAATACAGCTGAACATGAGTATGAGAATAATACTGAGGACAACCAGTAAGGTCCAAGTTGATGAGGAAAGCAGGTTATTTCGTTCGGAGAGGATTGCAAAAGCTCACTTCAACTTGGACTTAGCACTGAAGATGTTGCTTAGAAAGGCGATGAAAGCTGTGTAATTAAACCATGAAGCACAAAACAAGAACATGAAGGCAGCACTTAACTCTATCAACTGAGAAGTATTGTGTGTCAAGGAGACAGCTGGCTTGTTTAGCGTAACACAGGTATGCTCACCATGCCAACCAATGACAGTAAACTCCCTCTGAGACCAATTCAATTAAATACATCCTAAAGAAACAGGACACAGTAAATTAACAATTATGATGGTGTTATAGTTTACTTTATCAGATATTGCGATTACATAGCCAGAAAATTGTTACTCTTATTTTATTTTTTATTATTTCCATGAGGTCCCGAGTGGAACATAGGGAAGGCTTCGACAACATATCTCCACAATGTTATATTTTCTGCCATCATCTTCATCTGGCTAGCCACACAATTACTCATAATCTCTCATCTCCTGCTCCCCATTACACGATCTCCTAAATGTCATCCTCGCACCGACGACCTACTCGTCATTACCCGTTCGGATTCCACTCGAGCAAAGGCCTGCATTGTGTGCGATGACATTCGGTGGATTCCTCATCGTAAGCCTGATCCATCTCCATTTTCTCCTGCATATTTGTTGAGCAGTCGGTTCTTGGTTGGTTTGTTGCCAGCCAACCAGAGTTTCTTCTTGCTAATTCTTTCTCGCCGGCTGGCTGGCCATTTGATCTTCAGTATGGAGCCAGACGGCGAAGGTGGCAGCTGTTGATAAAAGATTGTAACTAGTTGAAAATGCTTTACGTGATGCGCACCTTAAGTTTCTGACCCGAGTAGAAGAAGTGACTAACTAACTCAAAATTTGTGTTGAACAGAATGCGAACGAATCTTTTTCTTTATGCTGGCTGAGTGCAGTGCAGAAGACTTCCAAACTGGTTTCAGGTTGATGAAGGCGTATCTGGTCTTTCCGATTCTCGCTGTCTCTGACATCTTCATCCATTCCAGTTGCCTGTAGTTGAAACGATGCTTACTGCCTAGATAAGCGGAGAAAGTAACCTCTGGCATATCTCTCCTTCTGATGGTGATTGATGCTGGTTGTTACTATTGCTGTTGGTTGGTTGGCTGTCTTCGTTAGCTTCGTCTACTCTATGTTCACGTGAAGTCCTGTCTCCGCTGCCTACCTCTTTAGCCAGCTTGTTGGCTTTCGCCTGTAAGTCTTCAAGTTTGTGTGACATTAAACATAAATCATCCACGCACAAAATCCAGATCTTGTAGAGTCTTCTTATCGGTGGCCCAGCATATTTCTGTATTCTCACACCCAACGCACAGTCTGACGCATAATCCAGACCAACACAATTAAGAATGTCATCAGTGATAACAGATAGCCAGCCTTATCTTACTCCTGTATTCACTCCAGACGCCCCATTGAGTTTTCTATTGTGGATCACCTGACACATAGCATTGTCATATAACTGTCGATATCTTTTTAATTACAACATCAATGCATTACTGATGAAATAAGAAGTACGCAAGAGTTAACCTACGATATATGATAAATAGATATATAAATAAAGCGATAACAGGTTGTCGGTTTGTCACTCTACTACACAACAGCCTCTAAGAAACTAATCATCTGAACAGAGAGTAGTATCACTACTACTCAAGTTAATAAACACACTTACCTGATGATTCGGTCAATTGTTCACCTTTAACAGGATACTGACTTGACGATGATTGTGATAGATGCGGGGATGAAATTGAAGATGCACTTGTTACAACAGGTTGAATTGTTTCATTGTCAATAGATGAAGATTTAGTTAAACTGGAGATATGATTAAGTGTTGTCTGTTTAGTTGCACTACAAAGAGAGAGGAGGAAGACATAATAATATCATAGTTTGATAAATTATAAACATTTTATGATATTCTTTAAAATTTTTTTATTATAGCTTGACTCCACACAGAATTTTTGTTACAAGTATGAAATTTTCAGCATGTGATATCGGTAGCCCAAATTTTGCAGGCCGACCATTGATATCGGGTGTGCGTCAGCCAGGGATCGAAACCCAGACCATGCGAATGGTCGGCGAGCGTCCAAACCCATATGCCACCGACGCACAGTTCCCTCAGATGATGCAATCAGCAGGTGTAGAACAAAAGCAGTTTATTATTATGTGGTTCTGCATGCATATCTCGAAACGACCTCGATTACAAAAAGTGGCCACTAATAAGTGTACGTCGGTGACAGAGTGGTAGGATGCTCGCCTCATGTGGTTCGCGGTTCTATCCCCGACCGCCAACGCACTCCCTTACCTAAGACTAGTAAAGAGAGAAGGTTGGGCATGAGGCAGGCTAGCAACCCTATCCTGTAAAAACATAATCACCACTGCTATCGAAACTTCAAGCTTCTAGCTTGACGCCCGCTATGTTCCAGTGGGAACGTAAAGGAATTAAAAAAAAACTGACAAGTGATGAATCGTTATTATTCCTTTTTTGCAAGTTTTGAGTATACAACAGGGTTTAAAAGGCACGTTTTCATAGCACACAGTTCCGTCATCATTTTATGCTGGTGTGACAACTAACAAGAAGCTTACATTTACGCTTCCAAGGAAAACACAAAGAAAATCACCTTACGATTTATAAAAGGCATTTCAAAAATCACTGTAAGACTCTTCAAACCTTAAGGAATTGATGCAGCACACAAACCAACAAAATCACTTCACCCCTCAACTAACTGGCTCTATGTCAACCAAAAGACTCAACAACGAAAGAAGATAGAACCAAAATCATCCACAAAATAAATTGTAACAACTGAGGAAAACGCCACATTGACCAAAGTGGACGACATCCCTTTCGTCTTCGTATCCATGAACAGAAACTCACTAGCTATCAAAAGACATGACATCCACTCCCTCGCTCATATCGCTGCATACAGACAACTACGGATATCAATTCGATTGGTAAGACATTTAAATATTAAGCAGAGGAAACACCAAGAATGCCAGAGAATTTTCGGAAGTCTGGTATTTCAGTGAATCGGTAATTAACAGGCACATTGACATAGATAAGATTTACCAATCCAAAAGTCAAACTTCAGGTGAGGATTTTGCCTAGTAGGGCAATGAAAGCTTCGCCAGCAGAATCATTCAGGAAGTCGTGACCAGTGAGCGGAGTACGGAAGGTTGAGTGTGAGGTCAAATTACTCGCCACCAATGACATTGGCTAGTGGTTGAGCGATGTCGTGAATTGAAAAAAGTAGGAATTCAAGGTTTGTCCATTGGATTGGGTCCCAGTGGCTTAATGGTCTACAAGGTAGTTCGCCTTGTAACCAGAAGGTCCTGGGGGGGGGGGAACCCGTGGTAGGTGAGTAATACTGAGGAGTCCCAATCCAGAAAGGAACAGCCGGCTGTCCCGTACTCCCAGGTGGTTTTCTAATGATCACCTAGACGATGTCAGCTCATCACGAAATCCTGTAGCCAACCAATCAAATTCCATATTAGTTTGTTCATTAGATGTATCACACAGTGTGAAACAGTATTATTATTTACTGGATGACACAGTTTCGAACACAATTCACTTATTGTTCACAATCATATCGCCAATTATAATCACACAACTTCGAAACTTGACTTTTATAGTTTTCTTTGTTCTCTCTTATTTGTCGTCGTAGGTGTGGTAGTAGAATTTTCCAGATAGCTGGGTGGACAGGTGTTTGCAGTTGATTCGATAAACGAAGCTTCCGTTATCAATCTCTCCCTCCACCCATGCTGCTACAATAGATTTTAAAACTGTCTGTCATCCTATCCCATCCTATTGTATATTTGTGTGTAATTCCATGTAATGAGTGGTATAGCTGAACTATTCTCTAGATTTCTTATCTTATTCGGGTCAACTAATCTAGATTTTGCTGCTAGGTTTTTATGCTCGGCTAGTCTGACTGACTGCCTCTGTTCTACTACTTTGACCTCTGTATTTGACCTGACAACATCGTAAGCAGGGTATTAGATTAACTAAATTGTTTTGTTTCAAAGGCTCCACAGGATGATCCTTTAACCGACAAAGCTTGTTTTTAATTGAGTTTGTGGGTTTGAATACCAGCCACTTTTATTCCTGCCTGCCTTGTTAGGAATTCTGCGTAAGGTTTCCGGGGTTCCTTCCTTGTATGGAATTACTACTGTTGATTTAGGTTCCTTATTGTTGGTGTTGTCTTGCGCATGTTTGACATGCATGTCGTCATTATTATTATTACTATGATCACTACTATCATTATTTATTTTATTTCGACATTTCCTTACATATTTCCTGAAAAATTTATCAGGGTAATTAGAAGCTTTGTTTATCGAATCAACTGAGAGAGAATACGTGTAATAGGAATGATTCAACACCTGTCCACCTGGATATCTGGAAAATTCTACTACCACACCTACGACGACAAATAGGAGAGAACAAAGAAAACTATAAAACTCAAGTTTCGAAGTCGTGTGATTATAACTGATGAAATGATTATGGAGAATAATAAATTGTGTTGGAAACTTTATCATCCAGTAAATAATAATACTGTTTCATTAATTGTGTGATATATCCATCTAATAAACAAACTAATATGGAATTACTTACTACCACAGTGCCCAAGTTTTACACATACATTAATACAACCAATCAAATGCCTACAAACCAATACTTGAATAACAAACATGTTGTTATAACAATTAAATCAAATTCATAAGAAGGAAATAAACATCCCGCCTTAGCACTAGAAAAAAACTTACTTCTGTCCTTTACTGGACAGCACTGATGATAATAAAAAACTTTGTGAACTGATCAACTTGTAGAGATCACTTGTCTCACTTAAACCAGATGTTTGACTACTAATCAGTGAATTGATCAAAGAAGAGGTTAGCAAAGCTTTCAATTCAGCCTTTAACGTGTCAGATATACACGATTCAGAAGAAGACTGAGGTTTATTCTCTGATGAATATGACACACTGGCAGGTTTTGTCGATTCAATAGATGATGGTGAAGTAATTGATGCCGGTGATGGTGATGTCGACGACAAGCGGGATGATGATGATACCGGTGAAGTTATTCGTGGTTGGGATAAAATATTCGTTGGTGTAGTATTCACGAAACTCTCCAATTGAACTGACGATGATGATGAAGTGCACGGCGGCGGCGACGGCGACGGCGGAGGAGTAGGAAGATTTAATTGTCTGGGTGATTTCGATGGATCTTCGTTTGCTTCATTGGATATGTGAAGATTATTACTTGGTTCATATGATTTCTTGGAGAAACCGATGTCATCAACTGAATTGAAAGAAAGAAGTTGAAAACATCTAAATTATGAGTTACAATTTAACAGGCTGATGCATATTTTGATGCTGTGTTTTTTATCCATTCCTTTAAATTCGGAGTGGAATAGACAGATAGACAGGTAAATCGGCAAACGCCACACCAGCCTTCGGGCTAAGTGTAGAATGTGAGACAGTGATCTGCAGTCTGCCCGGAAGTTTCTGCAACTGACTGGTTATGCTTGGAACCCTTAGTGCATAGGCACCATGAATGGAAACCCACTATGTACACAGAGCTAGTAGCAACAAACAACTTACTGGCGTCAATTCAGAGAGACCTACGATTTAGAAAGCAGTGGAATTTAATGAAACATATATGTAATATTCCTGCAAAATGACTTGATAGGGAGTGAAGTGATAGAACATGTTGACCAATTCACCTATTTGGGAAGTTGTGTCAGCACCAACGGACTGATTGGTGACGAAATCTCAGCACGGATCCAAAAAGCTCGAGCTGCTTTCGCTAACTTACACCATCTCTGGCGTAGGCGTGACATCCGACTATCAACCAGTAGCAGTTCGCTCCGTCTTTCTCTATGGCTCTGAAACATGGCCAATACGAGTTGAAGACATGAAAAGGTTGACTGTTTTTGACCACAGATGTTTACGATCTCTTTCTCGGGTTAGGTGGTATAATAAGGTAAGTAATGTTGACGTTAGGCGTAGAGTGTTGGGCAAAGAGGGAAAATCAATCGAAGAGGCTGTCAAGTTACATAGATTGAGATGGCTGCACATGCCTAACCATCGCCTCCCCCGACGGACGGGCATTACTAGCTGATATAGGTGCAGGTTGGAAAAGAGTAAGTGGTGGCCAAACAAAAACATGACATCAATCCATGAAATCCTTGACAGTTAAACTGAGTCAGGTAGGGAGATGCAGACATCCGGGTTGGGGCCCGCCCTCGGGACTCTAAGGATCAATGGCTGGAGACAACAGGTGACATGGATCGAAATCGTTGTCAATGGCTTACGCAGATGTATTCAGTCTCTGTAATCTTTCATATTCCTTTCTACCATTACTCATTCTGTTTCACTCTTATACTTGTCAAAACTCTATTGATTCCCTTCACTCATCTTCTTGTCTACGTTTGTGTGCTATTTGGAACGTGGCAAGTCGAACTGGTGCACTTCGGTGCCAAGTTCTATGTTGAATCCAGACAGACAGACAGCAAAATGACGTTACAATATTTTGACATATCATATGAGGAGTCAAACACCATAGAAATATCACCAGAAGCAGTCATCCGCGTACTTTCTGCACCTGCTCTGTTCTCCTTGTTGTGGTTGACGGTGATCTGAAAATAAGTTGACAAAATTGAGAAATACCAAAGAGGAACGTCGTCGTTCTCTTACTCTTGCCTTCAGTCTATCACGACTGTTGTGGAACCAACGTTGAGTGGAAAGCATGACGGCTTCCACTGTCCTACGTTAATCAACACTGTCTTGTTGTTGGAAACTGTTAATGGTTCCTGAAAACTACAATGAGAGCAAAATTCACTTGCGGATTTCAAGGTTACACGTTACTACAGCAAATCGTTCACTGACAAAAGTCGATTGGAATTCCTATTGGCAAATGAAGAAGAGTTCAATCAACTGAAGGCGTCACTTAAAACCCTAAAATCCAGGGATTCCTTCAAGACATAACCTTTGAAGTTTAAGTAGCAGTGTTATCGCTTTTACATGATGAGGTCGATAACCTCTAGCCTAACCATCCCATATTTACAACGGGCTAGGTGAGGTTTAAGAGTACGTCAGCTAGGAGTTGAAAGCAAACCGCTTGGCCGGTTGGACAGAATCCTCTAACTAAACCACAGATGGGCTAAGAGAGAGTCAGCCAGGAGTCCAAACCGGATATCCCACGTGATTGACTACTTAATTGTTTAACGTAAGAGAAAGAATTCAAGCTCTGTGTAACAGAATAAAATTCCATATTAGATAAGTTTATTTAATATAAAATAAACAGGGAAGATACAGGTATTAATGACTGAATGATTTTTCAAGCACAACTGTGTATTACTTGTAATCATATCACATTGCGTCAGGCCCTCGAGTGGAACCCAAAAAGGAAGCGGCGAGTCGGACGTCCAAGGGTGACATGGAGGAGATTTTGTGAAGAGGAGCTGAAACAGTATGGATTAACATGGACGCAGGTGAAAAGTACAGCAGAAGACAGAAGCAAGTGGAGACGTGTAGTTGAAGCCCCATGTTCCACTAGGAACCCAAGGGAACAATAATAATTATTATTATAATATCTCATTGCGTGCCATTTTGATCCAACCTGTTGGATAATAGTTCGATGAACAAAGATTCGGTGATTCGCCTCTCTCTCTTTCTGTGTATGTGTATCCACCTAACTATATTAATTTTTAATACTTTCACCCTATTCCACACCATTCTGTGACTACATAAAAATGTCTGTCTGCCTGTCTGTTTTCGACATAGAACTTTGCACCGATGTGCAGCAGTTCAAGTCGCCAAACTCCCTCCATGTAGCACACAGAGCAAGAGAAGAAAGTGAAGGAAATGCAAAATAGAGACAGTACACAGAGATATGAAGCAAAAAGAATAGTTATATGGAAGAACAATAAGGTTTTATAAGTCATAAGGAGTGGATGCATCTGCGACAACCGCTAAGAATGATTTTGAGCCATATCACTGATTGTCTCCAGCCACTGGTTCTTATAATCTCGAGGACCCGAACCAGGAAGCCAGTCTACACCTTCCTATGTGGCTGGTTTAAAATAACTGTTGTGGAATTCATTGACTGATGAAGCCATGTAGGTTTCGGTTTCACCACCACTGGTTCTTTTCCAACCTCATCGATCCTATGTCAGCTAACATTGCCCGTCGATCGAGGAAGGTGAAGGTTAGGCATGCAAGAGGAACACATGTCCTAACCATCTCACTCAATCGGTGTAACTTCACGGCTTCGTCTATTGATTTCCTCTCATTACCTAGCACTCAACGGAGGCCTAATCTCGGTATTGTTCAACCTATTACAACTACCACTTCACACGAGAGATAGAACGCAGGCACCAATGATCAAAGACAGCTAGCCGGCCAACTTTTCATGTCTTCCACTCTCAATGGCCAGGTCTCGCTCACAGCCATCACGGAGGACGGAGCGGACTGCTGAGCAGTACATAGGCCTTAGGGTTGATAGCCAGCCGGATATCACGTCCAATAAGCCAGAGATGGCGTAAACCGGCATAAGCAAAACTAGTCTTCTGTATCCATGCTGAGATTTCGTCTGCGACCAACTCGTTAGGACTGGCTGATGCAACTTCCCAAATAAATGAGGTAGTCAACGTGCTCTACCTCATTTTAGGCTGCATGTTCTGCATGTTCTAAGTCAACGAGATTATTCTCTGATGGTAACAAGTCAATCCCTGAGTCTCTGAAGTGAGTTACGGTCAAGTCCATCAGTACATCTATGATGAAATTAAATAGAAATGGGGATAGTGTGCTGGCATCCCTGACGGACACCACTAGTTGTCACCAGTTCAGATGACAACTCGCCATAAGCGCTCACCTGGCTGCATGAGTTCGAATAGAGTGGCTTGATCAGTGGAATGTATTTTCTCGGCATTCCCTTTACAGCCAAACATCGCCAGAGTACCTCTCGGTCGACAGAATCGAATTCCGCCTTTAGGTCAAGAAATATTACGATCGTTGGACGCCAGTAAGTATGCCTATGTTCCGTTCCAGAATCTGTCGAAGGGTGAAGATATAATCAATACACCCTCTTCCTGGTCTAAAGCCTACCTGGTTCTCTCGTGTTTGTTCCTCCCGTGGACCACTAAGTCTACCCATGATTATTGAGCCTAGGACTTTAGATACCGTAAAAATGATTTGCAATGCCCCAGATTTTCTATAGATTACTTCGGAGGGTCAATTATACAAGGTCTACTTACACTTCTATGTTCCAATAACCGAATTGACTAACGTCAATCTACTAGTTTGACTGATCTATTGTAATTCACCTCACTAACAGTCAGCATTACATGGTATTTGGTAAATTATATTATTTTTCCTCATTGGATCTATTGAATCCTTAATTTTCAAGTATTGGTTTTGTAGAGATTGTTTTTGATTGGTTGGAGGGTTTCATCATGAGCTGACGTCAGTTAAAGAAGCACTGAAAAACCACCTGGGAGTACTGGACAGTTGTTTCTTCCATCCTAGTTCGGGGCTCTTCATCAGTACGCACCCATCAACTGGAGTTAGAACCCAGGACCTTCGGGTTACAAGGTGAGCGAGCTCGTAGACCATTGACACTGGGACCCAATCCAGCTTAACTGAACAAATCTTTGTCGCTAAATGAGTTCTTCCGTTTAAACGCCACTACTACTACTACTATTGGATGCAATGAGTAGTGATAGCGGGTAAAATGAAATATTTAATTTGCAGCACTTATCAGAGTTCATCAGTTCAAATCTTACCATGATCAAAGTTTTCATTTTGTAAACACAAAGGAAAGAAACAAAAATCAATTTCCAGTTTACCTGAGTTCAAATCATCCATACAAGGGGAAGCTTCAAGGCTGATGAGAGGATTTAATGTTTTATCTTCTAAATGAGTAACAACATCATCGGCAATAATCATCTCATTATTATTAGAATGATATAACTCGTCTTGATCACTTTCACTGCTATGAAGTTTTTCATATTTATTTGATAAAGTAACAATTGGAGTTGATTGTGTCACCGTAGACGATTCATAAGCACTTTTATTTTTTTGTAAAGAAGGCTAAAAGAGAAAGAAAACAGGATATGATGAAGAGTGACAGTTTTATACTTATCATCATTATTACTACTACTGCCTTGCGTTCCGAGTGGAACATAGGGCTTCAGCAACACATCTCCACTCTCTCCTATTCTCTGCTCTCTTCTTGAACCAGGTCCACGACTACCCATAATCTCTCATCTACACCTCCAACTAACATGATCTCCTCCATATCACCGTCACACCATACACCCACTCATCGCTTCCCATTGGGATTCCACTTAAGCGACGGCTTGTACTGAGCGCGATGCCATTCGAAGGCCTCTTCAACGTATACCCAATCAATCCATCTCCAATTTCTCCCACATATTTGTTGAGCAATCAGCTCTCGGCTGGTTTGTTCCCAGTCACAGTTTCTTGTTGCTAAATATTTCTCGCCGACCGGCTGGCTATTTGATCTACAGTATGGAACCAGCGCAGGTGGCAGGTGTTGAGAAAAGACTCTAACTTGTTGGAAATGCTTTAAGTGATGCGCAGCGCAAGTCCCTAAACCGTATAAAAGAACTGACTGACTTTACACTGGTGTTGGAAATCCGAATCTTGTCGTTTATGCTGGCTGAGGGCAGTGCAGGAGATTTCCAAACTGGTTTCAGGTAGATGAAGGCATCTTACTTTTCTGATTCTGGCTGGTTTTGACATCTTCATCCATTCTAGCTGCCTGTAGCTGAAACGATGCTGCCTGGCCAGATAAGTAACCTCTGTCAAATCTCTTCCGTTGATGGTGATTGTTGCTGGTTGTTGTTGCTATTGCTGTTGTTTGGTTATCTTCACCATTTTCGTCTTGTTTGCTGCGTCTCTATATGAAGCCACTCATTATTTCATTTGGCTTAGAGAAATGTCACCATTTTTATGTAACTTCATCAGCAATAGAATTCTAAAGACAACTTTGAAATATGCACGTGATGGTAGTGTACATCTGTGGACTGGAAAAATACGCTTGTGAAACCTGATTTCTTTGAGTTGAGGTTACGCAGCGACTACGTTAATAAGTTTGACTTTTCGCAGTCAGCTGGAATGGATGAAGATGTTAAAACCAGCCAGAATCGGAAAGGCAAGATACGCCTTCATCAACCTGAAATCAGGTTGGAAATCTTCTGCACTGCACTCAGCCTGCATAAACACCAAGATTCGGATTTCCAACACCAATGTAAAGTCAGTCAGTTCTTTTATACGGTTTACGAACTTGTACTGTGGATCACGTAAAGCATTTCCAACAAGTTAGAGACTTTTATCGATACACCTGCCACCTTCGCTGGCTGGCTCCATGGTGAAGATAGAATAGCCAGCCAGCCGGCCAGAAATAATTAGCAACAAGAAACTGTGACTGGGAACAAACCAGCCGAGAGCTGATTGCTCAATAATTATGTGGGAGAATATGGAGATGGATTGATCGGGCATACGTTTAGGAGGCCATCGAATGGCGTCGCTCTCAGTGTAAGCCATTGCTCAAGTGGAATCCCAATGGGAAGCGACGAGTGGGTGTTTGGTGCCACGATGATATGGAGGAGATCATGTTAGTTGGAGGTGGAGATGAGAGATTATGGGTAATCGTGGACCTGGTTGAAGAAGAGAGCAGAGAAAAGGAGAAACTATATATGTGTTGTTGAAGCCCTATATTCCACTCGGACGTCAAAAGAATAATAATAATAATAGTAATATAGGGATTGGACAATGCTCATAAACTTTTCATGGACACGTATCTCTAACAGACAACAGCCGGAGAAAAGATCCTGTTCCACCATAAAAAACAACCCTACAATCAAAAATACAATGATTGTTGATTAGAAATACGCGTAAGAGAGTTTTAGATACCCAGAAGGACTGGATAAGTTGATCAGCACAAATTAGTTTACCATGCTTTATGCGCATATTATCTAAAGGTTCATACTCTGAGCTTTAAACTACCTAAAAGTCCATTTACGGGACAAGTCAAAATTTCATGAATTATAATTGTTCGTTTAAAATATTTTACTCCTTATGTTTTCTCTCAAATTTCACTTATTCCGTCAACTATTTATAATACAAGAAAATTCCCCATCAAGAGTACTTTCCATTTTCATTCAATGACTCCTGAAGATATTTCTTGACGTATAAATATGAAAAGAATGGAACTGGCTACAACTGAGTGCTAATTCAAGACAAAAGAACCCCCTAAAAAGATGTCATTTGGTTGATAATGGCTAAAATTAGAATTTAGGTGTGTTTGACCCTACTTAAAACAAACAGGCAGAAGTTACCCGCAACTCAGTGTAAGGATACTCCTAATATGACTCATATATAGCCCACATCGTTTTAAAGAAAAAATGTAAAGGCTACACAGCCACAAGAGACATTTTTATGCACCTGGTACTGGTCGTAATTTAATCAAATTAGTTTAGGGTTCAAGTTCATCATGGATAAGATTTTATTTTGATAAATCACACAGTGTTTGGTATGCAGAAGGTAATATTTACTGATGACAACGTTTCAAGCACAAATTATTGCCACTCATAATCATATCCAGGCACTACTCACATATAACTTTCTTGCTTCATTTATATACATGAGTAAAATTGATGATTAGACATCTAAATAAAATCAATATGCGATAATGTACATTCAGAAATAATATTAGGGTTATCAATAAAATACAATCAGATGGGAAATAAGATGTTTTTATAGTAAAAGAAATAAGTAACTTGTTAGAATGTTATGATGTACGTGAATTGAAACAGAATTTTAAGATAATTTATTATACTCCTCTGATTTGACAGACTGGCGGTAATAATATCTTCCATATCTCTGGTATTTTTTTTTGATTTACAGCTTGATTCCACGCCGTATTTTCAGTACAAGTGTGGAATTTTCAGCATTGATATCGGCAGCCCAAATTCAGGCCGACCATAGATATCGGGTGTGCGCCGGCAGGGGATCGAACCCCGGACCATGTGCATGGTCGGCGAGAGTCCTAACCACTGTGCCACCGACGCACATTTGCATTGAGTCATTTCTGTTGCATGTGTTGGGTGTAGATTCGATGAACAAAGATTCAGTAATCAATCTCTCTCTCTCTCCCTCCACCTACCGATATTACTTCTTAGAATTTTGACTGTGTCCCATACACCCTATAGTGTGGTTGTGTGTTAATGCATGCAGTGCTTAATTACTTATCTTCGTGGGATCAATCATTCTAACTTTAGCTAAATTCTTATATTCTGATAATCTCACTACTCCTGCCTGATCTACTAGTTTGACCTATGTAGTTGACTTAACTGGTAATCATTGCATGGTATTTTGTAAATTATATTATTTTATTTAATTGGATCCACCGGGTCTTTTAGCCTACAGAACTTATCCTATCCGAGTGAGTTCGTAGGTTTGAATGCCACTCCAATTTCTGCTTTATTAAGAATCCTACACGTGGGGTCTCAGATGTCCCCTCCTTATATGGTATAACTGTAGATGACTTACACTGTCTCTTATTTATGTTAGCATTATTAGTTTCACCATTATTTTAATTTTGACCTTTTGATATTCCTAATGAATTTTATAGAATATTCTATAGTTTGGTTTATAAGGGTTAGTTTTGTTTTTACAAACCAAGCCACAGAAAATTAATCTGATTCTCGCTAATGACTTGCTACAGGATGGAGTTTCCTGGAGTTATAGTTTTATAGAATATAAATATCTATTAGAATGCGTTGATTAGTTGCCCGATCGATAGCTGCTACTTTGGCCTGGTAGTTGAACCTGCATGTCACAATAACCTAAAGAGCTATACTGGCTGGAGATAATGTTCCTGCAGTTTTTACCATGATAGAAAAGTAGTTTGGATAATAGTTAGACTAAAAGTAGTTATCATTATAGTGTAAGTGGTTTACACTATTTCAAGTTTCTGTGGGCAACGTCGTACTGTTTTCGAATAGGGATTTAACAGCAGCAAGGTTTGTTCCTCAAGCAACCAGCAAGTTAAAAAAAGCTGCTTTATGTTCCAAGTTAAATCACGAAGAGTCATCTGTTAGAGAACCAGAGACCATTGAAAAGCTGTTCCGTCTTAGTGTAAGGCTCTTGAATTTGTGGACTCCTAAGTTCGATCCCCCAGGGTATTATGCACGTGTATTGATGAAGAGTCCCACAATAGTGCGAAGAAACTGTACAGTACTCCCTGGTTTCCATTGGTTCTTTAACTGACATCACTTCATGACCTAACTTGAAATCGACTGAATCCCTTGAATACTAATCTAATGACTACGGGATGCAGTTACTGGGACACTAACGAAAAGTGGTGACCAGGGGGATCCACTAAGTCAGGTATAAGGAGAAATGCTCACCGATGACATCAGCTGTGTATATATGTATCGCAAAATGACAGAAGTTAGAGTTCATACGTCATTATATTCTGTGCCAGAGACTGAATGGTTAACAGGATAGCTAAATAACCAAGTTCGATTCCTGGTGATGTTAACGGTGAATACTAATCAAAATCCCTATAGTAGGACAAAAAAAAACTGGTCTGACTCACTGACTGGTTTCAAAATAGAGTTTAGCACCGATGTGCAGCAGTTCCAGTCGCCACACTTCACTCACCATACAAAGCCAGAGAAGAAAGTAAGAAATTCAAAATAGAGACAGTAAACAGGGATATGAGGCAAAAAGAATAGTAACATCGAAGAGCAATATAGTTTTATTGGGTATTATAAGTTCACAAGGAGTGGATGAATCTGGGCCATTAAGAAAGATCTTGAGCATTATCACCAACTGTCTCTAGCTACCATTGGTGTTTACCGTCCCAAGGCTTTTACACCCACCCACCCCCGAAGACCCTTAACCAAGAAGTCTACACCTTCCTATGTGATTGGCTAAAACTAACTATTGTGGATTTCATTAACTGATGAAGCCATGTTTTTGTCTGATCACCACTAGCACTTTTCCAACCTGATGGAATAAGTGATGGATAACATTGCCCATCGGTCGAGGAAGGCGATCGATGGCTATTCATGAGTAACACATGTCCTAACCATCTCACTCAATCGGTGTAACTTCACAGTCTCGTCGATTGATTTCCTCTCATTACCTAGCACTCGACGCCTTATCTCAATATTGCTCACCCTATTACAACCACCACTTAACACAGGAGATAGAACCCAGGCACCTATGATCGAAGACAACTAGCCTTTTCATGTCTTCCACTCTCAGTGGCTAGGTTTCACTATCACCCATAAAAGAGAACGACGTGGACGGTAGAGCAGTACGGATATCACGTCTGCTACGCCAGAGATGGTGAAATTTGGCATATTTCGAACGAGCATTCTGTATCCGTGCTGAGATTTCGTCAGAGATCAACCCTCTGGGGCTGGCTGATGCAACTTCTCAAATAAGTGAAGTGTTCAACACGCCCCGCCAACCACTTCACTCCCCATTTCTAAACTAGGAGTCAGTATAGTCCAGTCCTGTTGCATCATCTGATATTTGACAGAGGGAGGAAATCACATATCAAGCACTCGAAGATTGCAGCTCAAGGTGTTGAGAAGACTCTGTTCTACTTAGTCAGCGTCTTCACCTCGGTCGGTCGGTTTTCGACATAGAACTTTGCACAGATGTGCGGCAGTTCAAGTTGCAACACTCCCTCCTTGTAGCACACAAAACAACAGAAGAGAGTAGGAGAAATGTATATTAGAGATAGTAAACAGAGGTGTGAGAAAAAGGAATAGTAATAACGAAGAACAATATAGTTTCATTTGAATTCATAAGTCACAAGGAGTGGATGCGTCTGCGCCACTGAAAACGATTTTGAGCCATATCACAAACTGTTTCCAACTATTGGTTTTTACCGTCTCGAGGACCCCAACCAGGAAGCCAGTCTACACCTTCCTACGTGGCTTAGACTAACTGTTGTAGATTTCTTTGACTGGTGCCATGTTTTGGTTTGACCGCCGCCAGCTGTTTTCCAGTCTGGCCCTATATCAGCTAACATTTCCCGTCGAGGAAGGCGATGACTAGGCATATGTAGCACATGTCCTAACCATCTCAATCTATGTAATTCCACAGCCTCGTCGACTGATTTCCTTTCCCACCTACCTAGAACTCGACGCCTAACCTCAATATTACTCACCTTATTATACCACTTCACGCGGGAGATAGAACGCAGACACCTATGATCGAAGACAGCTAATCTTTTCATGTCTTCTGCTCTCAATGGCCAGGTCTCACAGCCATAAAGGACTGAGCGGACTGTTGAGCAGTACACATGCCCTTTGGTCGATAGTCGGATATCACGTCTACGCCAGAGATGGCGTAAACTGGCATATGCGAAACTAGCCCTCTGTATCCGTGCTGAAATTTCGTCAGAGATCAACCCGTTGGGGCTGATGGTACTTCTCAAGTAAGTGAAGCGGTCAACGTGCTCTACCACTTCACTTCCTATATCTAATCTAGGGGTCGGTCAAGGCCAGTCCTGTAACATCATCTTACATTTTGCGGGAGCGAATCGCATGTCAAACATTCGTAGATTGCAGCTCAAGGTGTTCAGAAGACTCTGTATTTTGTCAGCGTCATCGCCTAGAATGTCTATATTGTCTGCACATTCTTAGTCAACGAGATTATTTCTTGATGGTAACAAGTCAATCCCTGAGTCTCTGAAGTCAGTAGTTAGGGTTAAGTCCATTAGTACATCTATGATGAAATTGAATAAAAAAGGGGATAGTGGGCTGGCATCCCTGACGGACACCACTAGTCGTCACCACTTCTGATGACAACTCGCCGTAAACCCTCACCTGGCTGCATGAGTTCGAGTAGAGTGCCTTAATCAGTGCAATGTATTTTCTCGGCATTCCCTTTACAGCCAAGCATCGCCAGAGAACCTCTCGGTCGACGAAATCGAATGCCGCCTCTAGGTCAAGAAATATAATGATTGTTGGACGCAAACGGTAAGAATGCCTATGTTCTAGAATCTGTCGAAGGGTGAAGATATGATCAATACACCCTCTTCCTGGCCTAAAGCCTGTCTGGTTTTCCCGTGTTTGTGCCTCCCGAGCACCACTCAGTCTACGCAGTATTATTGAGCCTAGGATTTTGGGTACTATATTAGTCAAGCTAATCCCTCTGTGATTATCACATGAGGACTTGTCTCCCTTCTTGTATATCGGGATGATCAGTGACTTACACCAACCCGATGGGACTTTCTCTGATTCCCAGACGCTGCCTAGAACCTCAGTTAATGCAGATAGCAAACTGTCTCCACCGTACTTAAATACCTCTGGAGTCAATCCATCAGGTCCCACTGCTTTGCCTTGCTTCAGATTAGTGACAGCTTTAGTAACCCCAGTTAAGGACGGAGGACCTGTGTCTATATCCCATTCAGGGAAGTATTGGATGTTCGTCTTCACCTAGCAGGGAGGACTATGTCATCTGCGTATTCTAAGTCAACAAGATTATTCCCTGACGGTAACAAGTCAATCCCTGAGTCTCTGAAGTCAGTCAGTTAGGGTTAAGTCCATTAGTACATCTATGATGAAATTGAATAGAAATGGAGATAGTGTGCTGGCATCCCTGACGGACACCACTAGTTGTCATCAGTCCAGATAACAACTCGCCATAAGCCCTCACCTGGCTGACTACATGAGTTTGAGTAGAATGGGTGCCTTGATCAGTGTGCTCCGATGTCAATTCGTTAGCTTACCTGAAATCAACAAAATCCCCCCCCCCAAAAAAAACATCATCAGTTTATCTTACCTTCAATAAACATTCATCACCATGGATTTGTTGTCCGTCAGATAAAGATTCCAATGAGGTAGTCATTGAAGCAACACCGACTGCCTGTTTTGAACCCTTCATAGAAGATGATGATGCTGATGATGATGACAACGGTGCTGGTGAAACTGACGAAGAATACTTTGAGTCTTTCTTGTCATCACCAACTTGATCATATGAATATAAAGATGATTGTTCTGATAATGATGTGCTAATAGCCTTACGCTTTAATATTTCAGCTTTTTGTGCATTCACAAGACAACGAGCACGTTCAGCTAGAACACCGGTGATAGGCTGTGAAATATGATATTTCACTAGAGTTGATGAAACCGCCTTTCCATTGTTTATATCTAACGCTTCTTGATCAGATGATGCCTATTGAATGTTGAACAACAAAAGAAAAAGAAAATGAAAATACAATTAGTTTACATGCAGGTAAACGTGACTGATAGAATTAAAATCGTGGAAAATACCTATTGGAACATTAGATTGAAAAGAACAAGTTCAGCAGCAAAGATATCTGTCTTTTCCGCGATTTCATTCTCAAAGCAGCTGTACAATCGCATTTATATAGATTAGTTTACATGAATACAATTATTATTTGTTTATTTTCTATAGTTTGGTTTGTAAGGGTTAGTTATGTTTTTACGAGTTGATCACGGATTGATATCAGTTAGAGAACCATTGAAAACCAGGGAGTACTGGACAGCTGCTGTTTCATCCTAGTTTGGGAATCATCGGCAGTAAGCACCCACTGGGATTCGAACCCAGGACCTCCCAGTTACTAAGCAAGCTCGTATACCATTCAGCCACTGGGACCGGATTAATTCCACATAGTAACGAAGGAGACAATTATTTTGCAAATTGAAATGTAAGTTAGGAGGTGTGAATATAGATTATAGGAGGTTTAGAAACAAAAAATTACACAGGATTAGAATATAATTGAAAAATAGATACTCTAAATGGATTACAAGTGTGATCAGGAGGAGCATGGAAACAAACTTAAAATAACTGACTGTGTTTCCGTCTTCTTTGTACTGCGGAAGCTTTCGCCATATGTATCGAAAAGCCGGAGCTATGTGTTCAAAAGAAAGCAGTCCAGCCTTTACAACTACCATGGACCTAGTTTGGTATGTTCCCTTAGTCTTCAGTTTTTTGTTTTGTTTTGTTCCCTGTGTGTGTAATTTTCTCTCTTTGTCTTCATTCAATTCATCCCATTTCTGTTTTCAGTTATAAAATCCGTTATTTTAAGTTTGTTTCCATGCTCCTCCTGATCACACTTGTAATCCGTTTAGAATAACCACTTTACAGTTATATTCTAATCCTGTGTAATTTTTTGTTTCTATGCCTCTTGTAATCTATATTCACACCTCCTAACTTACATTTCAAGTTGAAAATTATTATTTCAATTTGTTTCCGCGCTCATTTTACTCACACCTGTAATTCGTTCTATCCCTGAGACTCTAAGCCTCTTGTAATTCATATCCAGCTGGAAATAACTGTCCCCTTTTATTCGCCTTTAAAATTATTATTTCTCCAGTTATCAAATATTAATTTTGCGCACGTGGTAACTGTTTTCTAATTCTATGCAATCTCGTCTCTAAGCCCCTTGTAATCTATATTCGTACCTTCAAACTTTCATACCAAGCTGAAAATAACTATCTCCTTCGTTACTATGTGCAATTAAGCAAATAATAATTGTATCCATGCAAACTAATGTATATAAATGCGATTGTACAGTTGCTATTGAGAATGAAATTGCCAAAAAGACAGATATCTTTGCTGCTGAACTTCTTGTTCTTTTCAATCTAATGATAGAATTCAATCTGCAACAACACACCAAGGACTAGACACACATTACACTAGTTACTGACTAGTGTTCAATCAAAAGTATCCAATATAGTCAGTCCTACAGAAGGTCAATCGCTAGCCAGAATAGCTAGCTCAGTAGCAACGTCTCTAACTGCAGCAATGAATGACACGGATTCGATTCTCAGGGATGGGGGTGATATCAGTATCTTCAAGGTTTCTTGATAAGGGCTAAAGAAACACGAAACTTAGGCGAAGAGTTTCGTGTAGTTTACCTCCAAAAAATCTAACAAAACAACACTCTGCAACTCGCTTAATACTTTGTTGTAATTATTTAAATTATATGTATTGGGAAGTGAATACAGACTTCAACAAAGAATGCCTCATTATTTAATTTTCGAGCCTCGGTGGGAACATCATCACTGACTCACTGGGGAATGCAGGCACATCCAGTTGACGAGTCCCAAACAGGGCGAAATGCGCAACCTAGATTCCACTGCTAGACACCATACACCAATTAAAGAATACTTCAATTCAAAGAAATTAGCACTGAAATGTGCCAAACGTAACACCCCCTGATGGAGTGTTAGGTACTTCTAAAGAGGAGTCATTTTGGTAGATACGTACGTCTGACTCTCCTCTATATCATCTTTAGCACAGAGGTAATGATAACAACTCCACATAGTATGATTGACTAGTTGAATGAATTCCAACGTAAAACTCTGCATAAAAGTGCAACAGTCCAACCTGCCTAACTCCATGTAACACAAAAAACTGTGATGAACAGGAATGTACTTTTGATTGGATACTGGTCAGTAACTAGCGTCCAATCAAAAGTATCCAATACAGTCTTTCAGGAGGTCAATCGTGGGTCCGAACAGCTCAGTGGTGACGTCTCTGACTGCAGTACTCACTGGGTTTGAATCTCAAAAGGAGCATAAGTTGTTCCTTCAAGGTTGAAGATGCTTCTTGCTGACGAGTGCCAACTGGCACGAAACCTTGGTCAAGCAAGGCTTCCTGCAGATTCCCTCCAACCATCTAATGCAGGAATGTACGCCAGAAAAAAGAAAGAAAGAAATGGATATCGGAGATGACAAAGAGTCAATACGTCTGAGAACAATTTTGAAAGCTATCACAAAGAATCTCAAGCCAAAGGATCCTAACAACCTTAATCAACTAAGCAGTGTATACGTATATCTACGTGACCAGTTAAAAACCAACTGTCTAAGATTTCATTAGATCGATGTCTGGTTTCAGTTTGACCACATCTTTTCGAACTCTTCTCCAACCCAATAAAACATTACAACACTAATATCGAAAAAATTAAACTATATGACTAAAACTTACATTAATTTTCATTATATTTGCAGATTTTGGTAATGCAGAGGATGGAGGTAAAGCCGGTTGTCGTTGTTGTTCTTGTCGTCGACGTCGTACAGTGGACAATTTACTCTCTGAATTTGATGAGGCATCTGAAGTACTCTGTACACTATCCAATGTCTTTTCATGATTTAAACAACCTTCAATTGGATAAATATTTCTTGGAGTAGTGATAATATTCCGTTTCGATTTATTCGTCCCAGTTTTGCTTTCGTCAGTAGACTTCAATGAATCCATTTGTTGATGATCGCTTTGATCACTACTATCCCATACAGAACTGAATCGAAGACGATTTATGCGTCTATCGATCATTTCTAATTCATCTCTGATGGGATGGGAAAACAAAAAAAACCGAAATCATTCAGGCTTCAATTCATCAAATTTGTCATTTGTAAATGGGATATTTACACAGTTACCTTTGATAACTTAAAATATTCGAATCTTAATATCACGGAATATACACTTTTGATCATAGGGAATAAGAAGACAATTGCAGCGAAGAAAATTTTCTTTACGACGAAGTCATCATCTAGGCTGTACATTTGTGTATTTATGTCAAATGGATGGGAAAGTTCCAGAATAATTTCCGGTTAAGGGTCAAATTAATAAAAATTACAATTAGGAATTAGAATGCCATAATAAACAGGGGGATGGGTAAAACTCAAACAAAGTAGCATTATAATAACTAAGAAGATTGACATTGTTTACCTGCTCTTGTGGAGCTAAGTACATCAGCCGTACCATGCGCAGACTTGGAAAACGCGCTCGCGAACACTACCCAGCCTGGCTAGTAAAAGGAGAACAAAAACGTGTATAGAGTTCAGTGACAGAACATCTGGTCAACTCAGGACATTCAGCGCCTTTCGAAAAATCCTTCGAAGTAATATACATGATTCAATCAAACCTATCAAAGGGAGTGAAATCAAGACATCTGGGCATAGCTGAGGCGTTAGCTATCCAAAAACTCAAACGCACTCTACGTATCCAAAAGAAATACGTCCAACCCCTGTCCCTGCCATGGCCACCATAAACAGGTAATTCTTTTAATAGTGACTATCCCATCACCTCTTTTATCTAAACTTCCTGTTTATTCATGTTATTTTAAGTTTTTCTTAATCCCTGTCTACACTACCAAATTTTCATATCCACACTTCCTGTTTATTTTATTATTTTACTATTTCTACATATTTAATCCCTGATTGTATAAACAATTATTCATCGTATTAGTTTTTTATCCAAACATCCTGTCTATTTTTGTTATTTCTACATTTCTAACCCGCAATTGCACAATGTCAATCTTCTTAGTTATTTTAATGCTACTTTGTTTGAGTTTTACCCATCCCCCTGTTTATTATGGCATTCCAATTCCCAATTGTAATTTTTATTAATTTGACCCTTAACCGGAAATTATTCTGGAACTTTCCCATCCATTTGATATAAATACACGAACATTAATATGTCATCTGCTTGGTACTACAAATAACCAAATGATAAATCAAGCAAAATTGCATGAATGTAATGTGTAAAGGAGAATAATGAGTGAAAGTGCCTCACTAGCATGAAGAATAGTACCGACTGTAGTAGGGGAGTAAATAATGGACGTGATGTGGGTAAAGGAGAATGATGCTTGGGGAGGAGGGATTCGTGTGCTCTTGGAAGTGTGTGCGTGGTTGTTACTTCCCGACTGCCCCCTCCCACACCGTGGAAGTTGATTGATTCTTCGGGTACCTGAAACTGAAAGAGGGTTAGTGTTGCGTGTGTATGCGTGTGTACTGCTGATGATGATGATATTATCCACTGATCCAGGTTGAAGTAGACAGAGCAGGAATTGAACCCATGATCCACTAAGATGAAAGTAAATAAGCCATATCTTCACGAGACTAGGATGTATATAATTGATTTGCTATTAAATAATTTAATGTGTAAAGCGTCATCAAACCGCTAAAAAAATATACCTCTGATTATTAGAATAATATAAACTAATAAACTTTAGGAGTCAAGTTATTTTTCACCAGTTTCAAGCGGATATCTTTGGTAGTGTATGGGTTTGTTGACCACTTCACTTATTTGAGAAGTTGCATCCACCAGCCCCACTGACGACATCTCAGAGCGGATACAAAAGGCTGGTTTGATATTTTGACAAATTACTTCATCTCTGGCTTACTAGACGTGATATCCGGCTATCAATCAAAGGACGCGTGCACTGCATAGAACTTGATTATGTCTCTTTTGTGTTTGTGAATGAGACATGGCCATTGAGAGTGGAAGACATGAAAGAAAAGGTTAGCCTTCTGTCTTCGATTATAGGTGCTTGCGTTATATCTCTTGGGTTAATTGGTAGGTACAATAGTGTGAGCAATATTGAGGTTAGGCATCCGTCGAGTGCTAGTTATAGAGGGGAAATCAATAGA